CCAAGGTTGCAGCCACGGCTTCTGGCCTACCATCGATTGAAATCTTACCGCCATTGTGATGATGTGACGCAAGCCGTTTGTTGCGACTTGCTTTGTAGGGCTATCCTTAATTTATGCCTTGGTGGGGCTTCGTTCTTTGGCGAGACGTTTTGCATGGCCATCATCCCACTCTCCCGCTTACTTGATCTTGAGGTAATCGATGCTTAGGTTTCACCCGCGCGGTTGATGACCAAGAGAACGGTCCACAGACGGTCCACATCATTCTGCTGCCCAACCACGGCTTTCTACCGGCACTTGACTGAATGATCCTCGTAAGGTGATTCCATGGATCCACCTGTGAAGGTTGGGGTTTCCCGTTGACATGCCTGCTGCTTCGCCACAGGACATTTGCCGACGTGAAAGCCGTGTGGGATAAGACGCGTACGAGCGAGAATTACTTGCGCCTAAGCCAAGTTTCGTTACGCAACTTCTGTCACGGAAGAGATTGCTCTGAGGGGTTTAGAGCCTGGCACGCATCGGCACTGATGTATATAATATGACGATGGGATTGCCCGTTGGTGCTGAGCGTAGCATACAGGCCGATCATCCATTCATTAGCCCCTACGATCTGATAATTCCACCATGCTGAAGCAAATCGTCAGCGTAGCCCTGCTAGCAGGGCAAACCTTTGCCTTCGACCAACTTCTCAACTTCAAGGCGGCTCCCGAGTATGAGACTCGCACTCTTGATGAGATCCACCAAGCGGCTCTCAAGGAAGGTGGTGTCGTGACAGTTTGGCACGGCGGCGACGAAGCCAACCAACAGGATGGTTTGAAGGCAGCCTTTGAGAAGAGATTTCCCGGAGTGACTCTCAACATCACTGTTGCCCTCTCCAAGTACCACGACGGCAAGCTCGACCAACAGCTCGGCGCCAACAATGTGTTTGTCGATAGCATCATCCTTCAGACCCTGCACGATTATCCTCGCTGGGCGCAACAGGGAGCCTTGCTGAATTATGCGCCCGTTGGCTTCAACCAGATTGAGCACTCCTTTAAGGATGATACCGCTGCCTGGTATGGTCTCTACGTGTTCTTCTGGACCGGCGCGTGGAACACAAAGAAGCTCTCTGGAATCCAGGCCCCCGTCGAGTGGAACGACTGGCTACGACCCGAGTTCAAGAACAAGCTTGTTATCACTTATCCCAACGACGACGACGCTGTTCTATTCGCCTTCTACCTTGTGTGAGTACCCCTCTGATTCATGTCAGAATAATAAGCTAACATGCCCTAGCATGAACCAGTACGGAGAGGAGTGGCTCGACAAGCTCATTGACCAAAACCCTCGCTGGGTGCGCGGCACTGCTACCCCCGGCACCCTCATCAGCCAGGACAATTCCACCTCTGCCGCCTACTTCGCCGCCGGTGGAAGCTTCGCCCCCAGCGGTGACCTCAACTTCTCCGTCCCCGTGGAGGGCAAGTACGTGTCCTGGCCGCAGACCGGTGCCATCCTTAAGAATGCCCCCCATCCCGAGGGTGCGAAGCTGCTGCACAACTTCATCCTGTCCGAGGACTTCCAGAAGAGCTCTGGCGGCTGGTCTGTCCGCCGAGACGTTGCTACGCCTGAGGGTTATCCCGACCTCTGGACTAACAATGCGACGAACCCGGCGGAGTTTGCTCGATTCATGGCTGACCGGGCTCTGGTGGAAAGGTTGCGGTTCTACTTTGAGGCTAGAATTGGTTCTGCTCAGGGCCTTGATCCTATTATCGATGGCATCTAGTGGGTGACATGAGGACCATTTTAGAAACTAGGAAAACATGAATATAGGCTGAGGTAGCGTGTAATACTAAAGATCACATTGGATTGGATATCAATCAGTGTTGTGGAATTGCTCTGCGTAATGTTGTGATTGGTTTTGATATTTGCCATGGCCCATGAAATATGGGCTTTTTCTTCTTCTTTCTTTCAATTAAGGCCGCCATGTTGGATCCAAGCTCGAGAGCATGCATTGAACCCCGAAAATAGGCGGTTATCTGCAGATCGGAACGTGTCTGGAAACCTCATATATATTATCAAGGTATGCATTCTACCCAAGTATCTGGCTACTACTGTCGGGCGGCGGTTTCTGTACAGTGCTTCAAGACAGTAAATGCCGATCTGAACACTGTATTTACTCATCCGATAGCGCTGTAAGTAGAGCGCTAGTCGCTGGACCTTAGCGGCTCTGTCCGCTATAAGTTTGTAATTAAGGGAAGAAGTCCAACACTAGGTAGTGCCGGGCATAATTCAGTCCTTTGGGAGCACTGTGTTATAATGCTGTATCAATACCTGTATGTTGTTTATCCTTTGATGATTTTTTGTGCTATATCTCATGTATCACCACGAGTTGAATTCCAGTATATGTCAAAAAGAAAGAAAACGTATTACAAATGCGCGGATTGACAGCTGGTGGACCCTTTTACAGGCGTCACCAAGTCACTCCTCCAAAGTTCAAACTAGGCCATGGAAAAATAAACATGCGTCAACAAACGCATAAATATCTGGATTGCTGGCGGATTTATGTTGAAATAAGTAGGCCAAATACTCCAAGGCTTACTTATTTACCGCTTTGATGGAACATCGCAATGCTTGTTCGCGCCCACGTGACTAAGAACTGGTCGCTATTACGTGCTCGATAAGAGAGAAACGCAATCTGCAACGGTATCACGCAATGCGAATACTCGGACTAGATAAAGCGAGCATCGGTCTTCGTATCCTCTTCGAACCCCTGAGATTATTTCCGCTGAATCAATTTCTCGAATCTGATCAGTAGTGAAAAGGAAGATACTTATCACCATGTCTACCAAGGCCAGTCGAGTGGCCGTCATCGGTGCTGGCCCCAGCGGCGCCATTGCAACCGATGCTCTCGCGAAAGAAGGGGTATTCCAGACTATCCGCGTGTTCGAGAGGAGATCCGGCATCGGAGGCACATGGTTAGTCCGAGAACTCAAGCTTCTGTGGATAAATATTAACTTGGTCCAGGTTCCCTACGCCTCACCTACCAGTTGGAGTCCCGTCGCTCAGCGACCTGATATCCGGGAATGCAGATGCGGCAGTGTCTATCCCCACACAGCTTCCTGCTGTTACTCCAGTATCAGAGGCGGTGAACAGCCATCAGCATCGATTCTCTGATACCGCCATACACGAGAATCTTCACAGCAATATTGTTCCCTCTCTTATGAGTTTTACGCAGGAACCACTCCCTGACACATTGTCAGAGAAAACCCTAGAAGAATTTGGCCCGGGTGCCCCCTTTCGGCACCATTCGACGATTCGCGGCTGGATTAAGGGAATCTTCTCTCGCGGGGGGTACGACAAGCTGCTTGAATTAGATACCACGGTAGAAAAGGCCGAGAAGGTCAACGGCGAATGGGTCCTGACCCTCCGGAAGATTGTCAACGGCCGCAATTACTGGTGGCGTGAGTCATTCGATGCTCTGGTTGTGTCGACTGGACACTACAATGTACCTTGGTTCCCAGAGTTACCGGGCTTGGTGGAGTTTGACAAGGCCTTCCCGGGCTCCATCCTCCACAGCAAGCACTACCGGAAAGCCGAAACATTCAAGGGAAAGGTAAGAGAATCTACCCTTACATTGAATGAATATTGTCCGTTGCTCACTGGAAGTATTTAGAGGGTTGTTGTGGTGGGCGCCTCGGTGTCTTCGAGCGAGATAGCGCACGAGATCCTGGATGTCGTGCAAGGCCCCGTTACGGTGGCGATTCGCGGGGAACCCATCCCGGCCTTTGGGTGGGAGCCGTTCTTGCATCCCAAAATCGAGGTGAGGAAGGGCATCAGCAAATTTGATCCAAGCACAGGTGATGTTCACTTCACCGATGGATCAACTCTGAGCAAGGTCGACCATGTGATATTCGGAACCGGCTACACATTCAGCGTGCCATTCCTCCCTGAGGTTCAAAAGCGAGTTCTTAAAGCTTACCGTCGTCTTCCTGGAGTCTATCAGCACACATGGAACATCGAAGACCCGTCACTGACATTCGTCGGCATGGTAAGTACTCTCACAGTTATGTTTTTTTTGGGTTTTGAGACTGACAATGCTATCTCTTAGCTTGGCGGAGGCTTTACGTTCAGGGCATACGAGTGGCAAGCCGTGGCCGTAGCGCGGCACCTTGCAGGGCGAGCCAAACCACTGCCACCTATCCCTGAGCAGCTTGAATGGGAGCGAAAACGGGTAGAGGAGAAGATCGGAGGAAAGAATTACTACAGCATCGCACCTAATTATGAGGAGTATTTCGAATTTCTCAGAAATATCGCAGGAGACCCTGCTCCTGGGACGAACGGACGAAAACTACCCGAGTTCGACCCTGAGTGGCTCAAGATTTGGCAGGGCATGCCACAAGTAAAGATTGACGGATGGAAGAGAAAGAGGCTCGCAGCCGAGAGGGGGGCAGGAATTCCCAAGTCTAAGCTGTAGCATAGAGACGTGAAAGGCCAGTTTCGCATGGTCGCTAGCCCTTCTGCAATTATCTTTATAGATACGAACGCTATAGCACTCTACTGCAAGCATACACACGCCACATCGGCATCAGGCTAATCCACCTTTGGCACGGTCAGAGTCCGGTTACTGGATGGTTTTCCCAGAAGTATTTGTAGGGCTTTTCATTAGCGAGGATGACTTCTCCTCTTCAAAATACCATTTACGGTGGCGTCATAGCCATCCGCTAATAAACTCTGCTTGCAAGCCAAAGCAATGCCCTACACAAATATAACACACGCGTATCTGCATTTCGGAACTTGGATCAGCCTGGGGCATCTGGGAACTTTCCCGTATCGAAGCTCTCTTAGCTGCGATCTTGTTCCCGCATTCCTTAGTCGGCCATTTATTCTCACTGGCATGCCTCCATGTGCCGTGATCGACACTCTTTCAGCCACGCCAGAATGCTGATCCATTGTAACCTCTAACAAAGACAGAAAACACAGCAAAAAAAAAAATCAAAGGACGCTGAGGCACTTCATGACACAAAGCAATGGCCATGAAAGGGGATGGCCCTATGGTCGTTGGCCTGATGTGGTCGATGGCCGTTCTCTGTATCTTCTTCACTGCCCTTCGAACTTACACTCGAACTGTTATCGTCAAGTCTTTTGGAACGGATGACATTGTTTTCATAGTCGCCTGCGTGAGTGATATCCTCATCCTCATATGGCGATTGGATCCAAATGTCAGATGACTGTATAGCTAACCATGATCGCCGTCCAGTTCATGTTCATCATGTATACCATCTTTCTAACAATCAGTGCCTCAATTGGCTTCGGTCAGAATATGTGGGAGATTCCAGATGTCGATATACCTCCGACGGTGCTCTACTCAGCGATCGGACAGACCTTCTCCATCTTCGGTATGGCCATTGCCAAATGGTCTCTCGGACTATTTCTGCTTCGTCTGGTCTGTACTAGGATGCATAAGATCGCGATTTGGCTTCCCCTCATTCTATGCTTCCTTGCATCCGTTCTCTGTGCTGCCTTCTTCTGGTTCGGCTGTACGCCTATTGAGGCTGTGTGGAATCGGGCTCTTCCTAGATCTCACTGCGACGTGTTACCAAGAGTGCCCATGTACTATGTGTATGGAAGTAAGTAGGCGCGCTTCTTCAGTCCGCCTAGAATCAGCGAATTCTAATGACCGTTGCAAACCTCAGGTATTTTAGTTTTTACTGACTTCTACTTCGCGCTGTTCCCGTGGCTCTTCATTTGGAAGCTGAATATGAAAAAGCGTGAGAAGATTGTGGTTCTATGCAGCATGAGTCTTGGTATTTTGTAAGTATACCATGTCCGATTTTGTCTCCAGTCATTGATCACTGAGCTTTGTTTAGTGCAGCAGCTTTCGGGATCTTGCGGTGTAGCCAAATCTCCGGGTTGACAAGTCCCAACTTCATCAAAGCCGCTGTACGGGTTATTCTCTTCGCCGCGGCCGAGCAATGCGTCACGATGATCTGTATCGGGATTCCTGTCTGCCGTCCCCTCTACCGACAATGCCTCAACAGGCGGATGTCGCGCGACTCGAGCAGCTACAATAACACGTGCGGAACCCATCAACCGGTGGCCCTTCGCTCAATGGCGGGGAGTGAAACTAGATCGAAGGGAGCGACTTGGAATAGGTCAACAATTCGAGACAGCCACCTTTTAAGGGCGGGAGAACCGATCCGGCATACGTCAACGTCCGCTTCAGGTTTCTACGCAGATGAGAATCGCAGCGATGAAGAAATTTTTGCGTGTGAACAAAGGAGAAGCTCCAGGGCCGCCATAGACCCTGAAAAGGGGGCATCTGATAGAGAAGAATTCGGAGTAGCTAGCACAAAGACTTAGCCTAGAGAATTGACATGTGCAACGGTGATTATAACCACGAGTGCCGTCATCATAAGGAAAGTCATTTAGAGGGATGAAGTAGACAAGAGCAGTCAAGGAGCTGAGGCCGAAGACTAATCAGAACCCAATGCCTGAATTTACAGCGGCTGTCGTCTTAATCCAAAAGAGGCTCGAGACTCCGATTGTTAACTTCTGAAGTAAGATGGGCATGCAACTCTTACCAACCTTCATATGCAGGTCAGAGCCCATTAACCTCCTCAATGGCAGCCATCGAGTTTCGCCCTGCGGACTTAGCGTTACTCCCAATCGCCAACCTTTCCGCTTATGGCACCTTTCACGAAATGAGCAGGGGCTAAATATATCTTACATTCAATGCCACAATGCTTATTCCATTTTGGGTAGGTTTCGCTAGCGCTGATATCTGCCGGAAATAAGCATATCCTCTGGTTCAACTCATTCACAGGGGCGACAGACAGAGCTCGCATTCGGGGTTTACAAACCGTTGGGACTTCGTAGGCTCAGCGTGGCTCAGTTGGGAGACTCATATAAAGGTTGGAAGAGGAACGATCATTTGGCGATATCAATCAAATCAGAACCTCAGCCAGAATTTCAAATCATCTTCATTGTTTCCCAAGCTCAAAATCACTCCAGCCTAATCACGCCAAAATGAGGTTCTCCGTTCTGTCTACAGTGGCTTCTTTGGCTATCGTCACTCCTACCTTGGCCCAGACTCCTCCTGGTTTCTCGCCTGCAACAACCAAGACCTTCACCGTCAAGTTTGGAAATACTGCCGTCACGGCTGGTAACGCTATCAAGCTACAAGGTATATCTGCCACGATATCAAAAAAAGTGAAGACTTCAAGACTAATAATGAGTGCCGCATGGCAAATAGACACTGCTGTTGCACCCAGCGTCGACTTCGGTGATGTCTCTGGCGGCTCGGCTCATGTTGTCGCCATGCTGGATCTCGATGCTCCCATGGGTGACGCTGATCGATCCTACTCGCCTCTCCTCCACTGGATGGCTTCCATACCTTCTGGGGACAAGAGCAGTGCCACGGCCAAGGATGTAGCCCCATATGCTGGCCCCCAGCCTCCTGTTGGATATGGCCCCCACCGATATGTCCTCCTGCTTTTGACCGACCCCTCGGCGGAATTTCACCTGCCCTCCGGCTTCGAGAACCAGACCTACGCGGATGTCACCTCCCGTCTTCAGTTTCCCCTTGAGAAGTTCCTCGCTGCGGGAAACTTTCAAGTCACTGCCGCTAACTGGTTCACGACTGAGAATATCACTACCACGCCTACCAATTCCACCGGTCCCAGCAACTCCAGCAGCCCCAGCACCAGCGCCCCTGTAACGGCCGGTGCCTCTGGCCTCCAAACCTCTCTTATGGGTGCTGTTTTGGCTCTCATGAGTCTCCAGATCTTCAATTTGTAAGAGATTACAATATGGTGGTCAAGAAAGACGGCAATACTCTTGCTCCATGGTAGGGATATTTGCAATGAAAGAGGTCGGCGGTTTTGGCTAGAGAGATTTCCGTTATAGTTTTAGCAATCCAATATATTTGAATACATTCTATGTTATTAAGCTGTCCTCTTTTGCGGATGAATGAGGATTGACTGATCTGATGGCGACGATGCTCAGACCCGTAAAAGTAGCATCTTGCAACCAGCCAGACAGGTACCGAAATGCCGCTCCGCGCTGACGAGGACTGGTGCTGAACCTCGCTACTAATGTGAGCGGGAAAAACATGCGCAGGCACGCACAGCCGATGTTGCGTGTTGCGAGAAAGGCGGAACACCGTAGAATGTCATCGCATGGCTCAGTTATGTTCGATTCAACGTCCATGCGGAGTACTGCTAGGAGTAATCGCGCCGTGGAAAAGTAGGCGATGACAAAGGCTGTGTACGCATCACGGTAGCACTGCTCGTCATTTTCCAGTGCCCATTGCAGGCGGACCCCAGCCGACCTTGCTTCTTCATTGTATTCTTCCCATAGACCATTGATTCGTTCTTCGATATCAGGATCGCTCTTGATGAGGCCTTCATAATCGGGTTTTCCGTTTCGTGTGGCGAAGAAATCTGCGAGATCGAAGAGATCTATCATGAAGCGTGTTGAAATGTCTGCTATTTGATGATATCGCGAGCGTCCCAGAGCATTCCATCGCCGTGCTTCTGGTGCTGAAGTCATATACTGGATAGGGTATGCTACCATTACAAATAACTAGCTACAGTGTCAACTTAGGGTTAAACGATCACATCGTTCTGGTAGAGCCGGGACTTACAGTTTGGAATTGAAGATGTATCGCAGCTTGATCAAGGACGGGAGCTCCCATCAAAGAATCTTCCTGCATCAGGCCAAGGATCCTCCAAGCAGCGGCCAGATGAGTGGCGTAGGCAGTGGTCGTCGTAGGGTGGATGGCCTCAAAGATGGACAGAATTACGGCCGTGCAAACAATGGCCACCTGTTCCAATGGGTTTGCAGGCGGCGATGATGGCGACGATGATGATGAAGATGATGATCCATACCGGCCCAAGGAGAGAGCCTTGAACAACCGTTGAAGAGCTATGCCATACATGCGGCATGCCTCTCTGGTGGCCGGACGGTGCTTTGTGACGGCACCACAATGAGCAAGTGATGTGGCCTGGATAGAAAGGAGCAGCGCGGACGCTGTAGAATCTTCACCGACGCCTTTGGTGTGGGCTTGGACAATCCATGACTCTTTCGACGGCTTCTGACTCTGATCACTGATGAAGTTGAAGAATTGGCCAGTGAATGCGACGGATTCAATGGCCCATGATGAAGGTTGACGCGGAAGATCATCAGCCTTTGAAGTAACTGAACCACGGCTCCCTGAGATACCGGGAACACGTGTGCGCCGACTTTTGGAGACAACCGAATTGGTTTGATTGACAATCAATGGGCCATCAATAGGGCCAGAGCATGTTCGCCCAGCTCTGAGACAGTTGTTGCAGGATGGCTGCCCAAGATCACAGCCTATCCGGCGCTTCTTGCACGCCTCACAGCCACGACTCCTTCGAGGCATATCTGCGGGGTGTGTATCAAGTGAATGGATCAGGTCAAATCACCCCTGTTTACAATATCATACCAATTGATGTGTGTCGTGGTGATGGTTTTCATTATCTTGTGAAATGGATGAACAGTGGAGGTTTGAATTAAATTAAGGAACCTCCAGCGGGCAGCTCATTTCTGCCAGGCTCTGATTGATTAGTCATTGTCATTACGTTCATTGAGTGCTGAATTAACAGGACTGTCAAATGAATACCACCCGTTGAAAACACCAAGACCAATTCACATATGTTGAGAACAGGCTCGCGTTCCTTTCCGAACACTTCTCATCAGAGTTTAGGCGTTCATTATACACCTCGGGAAGAGACGTTCATCCTCTGCTCCAAGTGCACCCAAACAGTTTGAGAGACGGTGATCATTAGGCTCTCCTTACCTTGGATAAGCCTTTAGCCAAAGGGAGTCGTCACTTGCATGGATAAAGCAGAAAATGTACATGCCGAATGAGTCTATTTAACCTTATATTTTCAGAGCTACAGGACTTATAGATCCCCAGCTTTGGTACAGTTACACCATTTACTGATCGTCAGAATGCTGACAAATCCAGCAACCAAAACCGCGTCACCTGAGAATTCATCTCACTCTCTCAATGCACACCCCAACACATTCACCGTCCGTTTTCCTTGAGATTCAACCGAGCGAGTTACAACACCCATGACTTCCGCGAAAGGAGTGCCAGCCAATCTTACATCAAGATGGAATATCAACACCCGCCGCTCGCCATCAGCACCGGCTGTAGTAAACTCGTCAGCACGGAAACTCAACGCGTCCTGTAATGGCTGCCGGAAATTAAGAGTCAAGTGTTCCGGAGGCCAGCCATGTCAACGCTGTACGGCATCACCCACTCCATGCGCCTGCATTTACAGCATCTCGCAGCGTCGAGGGAAGCATAAGGCAACTGAACCGGCAAGCCAACATACCTCTGCAATGGCTGATTTAGGGGCAATGCCCCTGTTTACCCAACCTACAGATTGGGCCGTATCACCAGGCCTCATCTGGAATGGCCAGGACATGTTGAGTATTGAGGTGTGTTTAGTCCTACAGGTTTTGGAAACTCATCTGAGCTAACACTACTCGCTGCATTTCAGACTGAACAGCAAAGCTTGGACCAAACTTTCTCTTCCAACCACTCGGGCTATCAACTCAGAGATTCACCTTCCTTGAGTGATTTTCTGGACTCGATAGAGCCTCCCAGCCCTCCACCATCCACCAGCGTTGCCGATCGAGGAAAATGTGCCGAGTCGTGTTTTCTGCCGGTTCACAAGATGACCAGCGAACTTATGGGGATAGAAACAGACTCGTCGCGGAACTCACTGGAGAATTTACTCAAAATGCTTGATCAGTCGATCATCTATGCCGGCAAATATCTCGCATGTCCCAATTGCGATCCCGGGTGCCCCAGGATAATGAATCTGTCATTTCTTCACCAGCGCCAAGTCACTCTGCTCATCAACATCACCAAGGATCCGGCTGCTTTTATACATGAGCAAGCGCCCCGGGTAAGCTTGGGAGAGTACCAGGTTTCACGAGAAGATGACATCGCCCTTAAGCGCATGTTACTTTTGCGAGTGGCGCGGGATCTTCTCAAGTCCGTGAATGAATGCCATGATAGGTCAATGGAATTTGAGAGGAGATTCAAGGAGGGCACTCTGGACTTGGGAGACATTGGGAAACTAAACCTGCGGTGGTTGCTGGATATTGCAGCGAATCTGACAAGAAGACTCAACTGTGTCAAGTCTCAATTAGAAAACAACGAATGGGGTCTATATATTCTACTAGTACACAAGACTAACCCATCTCAAAGCATAGCGAGTTTAACTACTTCTTCCGAATAAAAATAAAATCCAATCTCAATAAATTCCTGGGAGTACTTCTCAGGCATTAGACAAAGCCTTCGCCTTTCGTCTATGCCTCGGGCATCTAACATATGGCATGACCAAGTTGATCTATGGTATCATTTACCTAATCAAACTTGACATCATATTTCTTGCGCAAGGCTTCGCCGTACCTCCAGAATAGAAGCGGCCCGATGGATACGAAAATGGCGATAAACCCAAGGAGAGAATTCCCCTTTGTCATAGGTCAGCAACCTTACTTTGCAACTCGATAATGAGCACTTACCCAACCGTATCCTAGTGCCTGGTAAAGAGGTAGCCCAGCGATAGGGAGACAACCACCCACGATGCTTCGAACCACGCTCGTTGCTGCCAAAGCGCTTGCGGCGTAAGTCGTAAAAGCGTCGATCATGTAAATCTGGGTTGGAAGCTACCTCGGGTCAGAATTTCAAGCCTAACGCATATCAATCGGGCCACTCACGAAGGAGAAGATCAATCCCGCGCCCGTGAAGCCAGTGAAGATAATTGGTACTATCCAATGTGTTTTGTACTGTGCGGTCCAGCCGTAGACGAATAAACCTATTGGGAGCAGCGGAATGCCGAGAACAATGGGCAGCAAGCGATATCTGTCTCAAAATGTCAGTGAATATTCTTTCCCCCACGATCAAGAGCAGATAAGACTTACTCAGGCTTCGTTCCGCCGTGCTTTTTAGTCAGCTTGTCCTGAACCCAGTCACTCATCCACGACAAGAGGACCAGGGCCAAAACACACCCAACTCCCATGCCAAGAAAGGCCAGGCCTAGAATATCAATACCAAACCCATACTGCTCTGGAAATACTGTCGAGAAGGTTGTGAAGAGCAGATATAGGTATCCGTAAATGAGTGCAAGGTATAACGAAAGACCAGCAACGATTGGGCTGCCAAAAAGCATCCTCATTGGCCTAGTGAGAGACCTTAACAGGACCGTCTTGAACTGCGGTTTTTGTTCCTCGGATATCTCATCCGATGGCCGTAACCTTTTTTTCGCCATACTCTTTTGGATGGTCGGGTGATGACTCTCCGAGAGAAAGAAGAAGGTCATTATAGAAATGACTCCCTTCTGAAGCCATGAATGTTAGTCAATAATTGCGCTATGAATCAAAAGAATGGTCATTGCTATGCTTACCAGAATCGCCATGATCCAGAAGACCCATCTCCAGCCAATGGCTTTCGCAATGAAGCCCCCAATTACAGGTCTAGAATATTATGTGAGTGGATTTCCAAGATACTTCATGCCGTGTTCGGAAAGCTTACCCAATTACCGGACCCAGAAATATGCCTGTGAAGAAGATGGACATCACAAACCCTCTTCTCGCAAGAGGGATCTGATCTGCGATGCTACCCCCTCCGATGTTCATAGGTCCAGCCCCAAAGCTTCCCCCGACGAACCTAAAGACAATAAATGATGCAATGTTCGGAGCAGCAGCGCTTGCAATTGTAAAGGCCAGCGTGGCGATGTTGGATATATTGAAGAGAATCCGCCTTCCGTAAAGTTCCGACAGGGGCGACAAGATTACTGGACCGAAAGCAAAGCCAAGTACGTAGATGGAAACAACCAGGGAGGTCACTGGCCTGCGCGTCTCATGGAAATCATCTCGTAGCAAAGGGACGCCGGGGACGATGATGGAGGATTCCAAGGGTCTACCAAGCAGTCAGTACTTCAAATACATGCATTTTGGTAACATCGAAAACGTACGTAATGAATGCTAGAAGGGATACGATGCCCAGATTGACAGATTTTTTGAAATTGCTCCAGTTTTGCGGGTTGGCAGCATCCTCTTCCCACGGAACAGGCTGAGCGTCTTGCTGCTTCTCAGATTCAGCCTCGGTAGACATTTTCTCGGTTTTCTCGGTTTTCAATACGCTCTTTCGACTTGAAAGACATATGGATGTTTTTCTTTTGATTGAAGCTCAAGTTGCCTCTTGATATACTGCTGAGATTGTTGTGTCGTTCGATGGCGTTTGTGCTGAATGAGGAAATGTCCATTGTCGCTGAGCGAGAATTACCGCATTGGGAAGCTCTCCACCTCGCTCAGCGACATCGTCAAGGCCCTCAATACCAAATAAGGAGGATCATCAATATGTGACAACATTATCATATCAAGGCTGACAAATTATGCATCATTCAAATTGGCCTCTCTTCCCCCCAGCAAGTTATAAAAGGGGTCAAGAGCCTACCCTCTGCGGTCCAATCGAACTAGTAACCTCAAATCGTCTGTCTGAACTGATTCACCCTTTCTACAAGAACAAAATCATGTCTCAAGAAACCGTCCAGCTCAAGGATGACACAAACCTCCAGGTTTGGACCTTTGGCAACGAAAACAAGACCAAGCCACTCCTGATAGCGCTGCATGGCGGTCCAGGACTGTCCACTCATGAAACAGAAGTCCAGTATCAGTTCCTCGCTGACAACTTCCGCGTTCTGATTTACGACGCCCGAGGAAGCGGAAGAAGTGATCTCAAGGGCCCATTCACTGATGATCAATGGGCTTCTGATGTTGATGAGCTGCGGTAATAACATCTCCGTATTCTAACCTCCTCCAAAGAGTATTTACTGATCCGATGCGCTAGGGAATGGGCTCAAGCAGAGAAATTCGTCCTTGCCGGGTACTCTTACGGGGGATTCGTCGCGCTCACTTATGCATTGAAGTATGAGAATCGGCTATCTGCTTTGATTCTACGTGATACTTGGGCTTTTGGTCATCGTGGATCTCTTGGGGCCTTGCGTTCAATTCTGACGTCCCCTCGCATCAAGCCAGATCCTGCTCGACAAGTGCGACTGTGGTCAGGAACTTGCATTAATCGAGAGGATGCAGAAAATGGACTCACTGAAATCATGGCCATCTACACTCCTGAAAAGGAAGAAGAAGCTTCATCTGCCCCGCCTGCGTTTGATCTCGCGAATGATGGGTTAGGTCTTCACTGGGAGGTTCATAACGCCGCTTGGTCGTTCAACCCCCGGAGATTTGATGTCAGGGACAAACTGAAAAACATCACTGTTCCTGTCCTTGTGGCTGTTGGGCGCCACGATCCCATTTGTCCCGTGGATGAGGCGCAGGTCATCGCTAAGGGCGTCAAGAATAGCGAGCTTGTTATCTTCGAGAACTCGGGTCATAATCCGGCACAGGACGAGCCTGAGGAATTTCAGAATGAAGTTAACAAGTTTTTGAGGAGCCATATCCCGCTGAACTAACGCATCCTGCCGACAACTGAGATGGACACATCCACAAACACGCACGTATTTCAGACAAGGGAAGACACATTTATGGGTGTAGCTATCTATCACAATCAAGTTGCTGCTCACATCTTCATTGAACCAAAAGAAGAAATATTGACACACGTAGGCTCCCAAAGATACTGGTCCCCATTCCCCCAGGGTCTTCTTCTATCATGTTCTTCTTCGCGTGGGCCATGTTCCCACATACCATTGTTAATTGTCGGCCACATGGGAATATAGCAACGCTCCTATACATTCTCGTCAGCTTGCGAATCCTGTTTTTAGTAGATGAACTCACGTCAGGTTTGCAGGGCCCTTTGCATCCAGTCCAAAGATCTGCCCATCCCAACCACGCCATTAAGTCCTCCACTACCGCCTTCCAATGACGCCGAGAACTTTCCAAGTCCAATGTAACGCGTGCTTCATTTTTGTTGAAATACAAAAGCCATTGCATTTCAACTCCCAGGCCAATCTCGAGGGTGGAATGACATATGCCATGCAGTGTCTCCCTAACAGCCCAAGAGAGATGTTGCTCTCCTTCATTCAAATGATCCTTCTCGTCGATATCATACTGACTGGTGCATCTTGAAACAGCGTCTACTACCGCTGGTGAGTCCATGGAAAAGTAATCGCGAAGACTGTCTTCGGTGTACGGTTTCGGCGGATATTCGGAAAACGACATGATCAACCAGTGTGTCAAAAATCGTACCGATCGCAGCCAGTCACGCTGCGATTGACCGGAGATCCCAGCGAGCAAGTCACGTAGCGTCCGCAGATTGTCGCCGTAGAATATGACAATCTCCTCTGCAGTGAGTTGCCAGTCAACGCCGCTGCAACTTGTTGCCTGGATGGCTTGATCGCGTTCAGTGATCGCACGCAAGCCATTTTCAACCATGGCACGCATGTGCACACCATCATCTTCAGTCACGTTGTTGGTCCGATGAAATCGTCTTCGCCTCATAAGTTGTTCCAGCGCATGCTTCCTGGCGTTCTCGTCAATAGGCGCATCCCATTTTCCATCAGCAGAGATATTCAAGGCTCTTCTTTCCGACTCGATACGGGCAGCATCCTGCCCTTGAAGACTGGGATGGTAAAAAGTGAACAGACCGCACGTGTTCACTTTGGCACGAGCCTCTCCCCTTCCTGGTCCGGTCCCAATTGTGCCCAGCGACCCATAACGCCTTGTCGCCGCGGTGAACCACATCCAATTTGCGACTCCCCGGAAGGCCTCGCTGGGGTCAGTCATGCCTGGACCATGAGGGCCTTCTGGTGTGTCTGACCTAGTCAGTGGCATCTGCATGTCGTCCCATATAAGGTCCCTTGACGGAAGATCCTCCAGCTGAGGGGTCGATATGTTGATATTTGAGACAAGTTTGAGGGATGGCGACCCAAAATCGCACCATATGAGCTCAAAACCTGCATTCATCCGTACAATAGCCTCGATGCCCCATCCAAGGCCACCCAAGTTGTGTTTCTCGATCCAGCTACAGAGCCCTTTGGCTCGGAAATACTCGTCATCAAGCGGGTTCCACTCTTCGGCTCTACCTTCATTCAAAGTACCCGGTGGTTTGTTTGGTGGCCTCGGTGGTCTCCCTGGAGGGCCATGCGGGTGCTTGGGCACACTGTCACTGTCGCCATAGAGAAACGTCATCTGAGACTCGACCCCGTTGCTCATCAAATTCGCAGACATCCCGTCGAAATACAAAAATCCGACCCTGCGTTCAGTGCGGTAAGTCAGGAGACGGGAGTCAGGCAAAGAGCCCATGATGCCATATGCCATTTCTGAATCAAAGGCAAGCCACTCGGGACTTGAGGGCAGATCATTATCATGCCTACCATGATACAGTAAGGTATGCGCCGCAACGCTTCCAGCTGCGATCGCATGGCCATTCGGGAAAAACGTATTCGGCCATTGATGAAGGAGACTCGCGACAGTGGAAAAGACGTACGGGGCTGGCGAAGAGAAATTGAGGTAAAAAGAGTCGGCCGACACCGGCAGGGAGACGTCGAACAGCAGCGCGATATACGCCACGAGCGTTCGGGGTAGCATCAGTCCAGGAGCAGAACACAAACTACACTAGAAAATGAATTTAATAGCCAGTAGAAGCACATGAGGAGATTTGGAAATCAAAGTGCGTGGCCGAACGAAGAGGAATCGTTATCTACACTTGGTTCCATGATGAGGGGCCGCGTCACCGGTCATCTTGCCGATTCATTGGTCAGATGGAACACCCCTGCATAAGAGTCGACATTATTGAGTGGTGGCTGTATTTGAGACTTTCGATTCTTTGTGGAACAATAAATATTATATAAACTGTTCATCTATGCCTGGAATGGCCCGTCCCCTGTAAACTTCAATGTCTCCTGCGACAGATTCTTCTCAAACGTGATATTTGATCCTAGTCCAGCCTTGATAACCGCAGGCAGCCGACTCTGAAGCACTGGCTTGGTAAGAGAAACTTGGCCCGCCTCATAGCCTTCGCGCCACTGCTCCATCGTAGGAAATCCCGCGTTCTTGTTGATCAATTTCTTCGTTACGGCTATAACATCGTGGTCCCAGCCGGCCACGCGGCGAGCAAAAGTATCAACGAAGCTTTCAAATGAGTCATCCGGGATTGCTCGATTGATCCCTTAAGCCGGTTAACAAATGTTAGCGCAGATAAAGATCAAGAGGGGGGGTTACGACATACACCCATACACTGCGGCCGTATCAGCGTCAACATCATCGGCCCCAATGGCAACCTCCAATGCTCTTGACCGACCCAGCAACATGGGCAGTAGTGCCATCCCCGAGCTTGGCGTTAGCCCTGCTCACAGAAAAGCACGATCAGCAAGATTCCCAGCGTTCTTGGTATGGGCCTTCTACTTACCAAAGCCAACCTCGATTTGATTAAAGACAGCCTTTTCTCTGCTTCCGAATCTGACGTCCAAGGCAGAGGCAAGCTCCACGCCAGCTCCCCGAGTAATCCCACGAATGGAAGCCACTGTGATCAATGGCAGGTTGCTAAGACGAGTCACATTACCCCACCAGACTTCAGAGGACAATTCTGCCGGGGCAGGGTTGGCTATGTCGATGCGCGAGATCCAAAAGTCTGGAACGTCAGAGTCGAAGACTACAACCTTGACCTCTTGGTCGTTTTCAAGCTGATCCACGAGCGCATAGAAGTCGAGGTAAAAGTTGGAGTTGAGTAGATTGAATGGAGGGCTTGAAAGAGTTGCTCTCCAATATGAGGGGGTAACCTTTGTGACACGGATAAATCCTGTTGAAGTTGCCTGGCAAGCAGCCAATGCTGATGCCGCAATGGCGAGGATGAAGGAGATAAGACTAGGATACTTCATGTTGGCAGCGGGTGTCTGTTTTCAGAGTTCCAGGGGTAAATCACGATCATCAACGGGCAATGCGAGCAGTTATTTATGTTTTTCACCATCATCGGAGTTAGGGAAAATCAAGTCTCACAGATAAATTGATAATCTAGAAATATTAGACGGCCTAAAAGCTTGACCGAAGCCGCGCAAAGTGGCTGACATAGCTGACAATAGTTGCCGCTTCTGGAAAGTGTTGGCTAGTTTTCGCGATCCATGCTGGGATAGCCTGCCTCGTTTCTCAAGTTTACTCCAAGAAACCGGGAAAATGAATCTTGAACCAAATGAGCTGAGCAAATGGAATTTCTTCAATTATGTGACGATGACGCTATTGCCCTTGGTGAGCATGATTCAGGGGATTTAGCAACCTAAGAATGAAAAGAATGTTTACCACTAACGAGCTATTGACGCCTAGTGACTTAATCCTGACAAAACATTGAGACTTCTTCGCTTAGCCTTGCAAAAGATGTGAGATAAATTGAAGACATGATCTCAATCTACAACAAGTCAGCAATAAACCTGGGCTGCTTCTCAAGGCGATACTCCATCGAACGTGGCTTCCCTAAAGCATCCGGCCTGGCATCCCAAGGCCGCGGGCCACTACTTGGTCGGTAGTTGACCCCGAGCGCGTTCAGCCTCTGAAAGTGTGTCTCGAGACGGTCTTTGAAATTCTCAGTCTCCGCGTTCGAAGGCGGCTTGCCCCATGCTACTTCAGCCATGGCACAGAGCCTTGGGTAAGCCATGTAGTCCACCCTGCGAGCGCTCTCCATATGTTCCGTCCAAATGTTTGCCTGACATCCAATGACCCTCTTCTTCTCTTCCTCGGTCAAGCCCTCGGGGACTGGCTCAAATGCATACACAACATCAACCGAAAGCACTGTCCCCACCGGTGTAGGCTCATCTTCGTGCTCGGACTGGCGGAAGTCCAGATATGCCGCCATGTCCGGGCAGGCAATTACCTCGAATCCGCGCTGGGCTGCAATACTAATGGGGTCATAGCCTCTCCAGGCCCCTATCAGTACATCGGCGGGTGTTCGTTCCCCTCCGGCCAAGATCTCATCCCAGCCAAATGCTCGACGAGAGCGAGAACGTAAGTGGTCTGCCATTTGCGCAACGAACCATCCGTGCAAAGCGCTCTCATTGGGGAGTCCCAACTCCTTCATGCGGGCTTGCACGGGAGGACTTGCCTTCCACTCGTCGTGAGGGCATTCGTCCCCTCCGATACCTACAAACTCCCCGGGAAATATGTCGCAAACCGTGTCAAGCACATCTTTGCAGAACTCCAGGACTTGATCGGACATGTTGAGCACGTGTGTAGAGATACCCCATTCCTCCATTACGTCAACCTTTGTTCCGTTTCCAAGCTCTGGATACGCAGATATGGCAGCTTGCATGTGTCCAGGCATGTCGACCTCGGGCACCACGGTGATGTGCCTCTCGGCTGCAAACGCCACGATCTCCTGCAAGTCTTGCTTGGAATAGAACCCACCATGCGGTCGCGCGTCATACGCATTGTGGATGGTCGAGCCCAGCATCGTCCTCTTCCGCCAGCTCCCCACCACCGTGAGCTGCGGCCACTTATCGATCGGGATCCGCCACCCTTGGTCGTCCGTCAGGTGCAGATGCAGCACGTTGAGCTTGTGGAACGCGGCCAGGTCAATGAAGCGCAGCACGTCGGGCAGGGGCATGAAGTGGCGGGCCGTGTCCAGCATGACGCCGCGCCAGGCGAAGCGAGGAGAATCCTCTATCAACTGGGCCTGGACTGGCCATGGCCCTTCACGACCGGCAGCAGTGTGACGCAGCAGTGACGGTGGCAGTAGCTGCTTCCAGGTCTGCTTACCATAGAATACTCCTGCAGCAGAGCCGCCCGTTATATGTACGGCCCCGTCCTTGGAGCTGCCTATATCGAGCTTGTACCCTTCGGCTGGAAGTGTCTCATCGATGGACGTGGTGGGCTCTAGGTTTGACGCCTGGATAATACCCTGCGTGTTGGTGATTGACTTTGGATGTGGGATCATATCTGCAGTTCAAACTGGCGCGTTATAGATTAAAGTTATGTTTTGCGTCCAAGAGACAACTTTATTCTCATATGAATGAGTGATCATGAAAAATCTGATTGAGAACCCAACGGTTTTGCCTAGAAATGCTGACGTGAGGCGGCCAAGAGCTGAGCTGCTGCCTGAGCGGGGTAGTCACCAATGTCACCAGACAATATGCACGAGGAAGCCTAGTCAAACTCCAAAATTGTGGCTCATGACGTGGTAGGTTGAACCTTGCATAATGTGGGAACAGGAAGAATAACATACCAAACAGTAATGGGTGAGATTCGCGAAAGAAAAGTGCAAAGAAAGAGTTCGCGTATTGAAAACATGCTTCATCGGGTGGCCCATTTACCTATCAAAAAAAGAGAAAAGTAAGGTGTTAATGTGTGAGTTGAGGAAGGAAAAGAGCTTGGTTAGTCTTCGGAAACAATTTCCGTGCCTCGTATGATACATCCACCTCGGCATACATCATGTTTGTTGCAAACAAGCCAAGGATAATTCCACAGCTGAATAGAACATGAAGCTTGGCGCTCAAACGAGGCCAACTTTCAGCTGCAGTTACGTGTTATGATGCTTGATGCTGTATCAATATCTTGTTAATGTTTGTTGTTGTTGTTCTGCTATATTGGGTAAGGGATGTGAGATACGAAGATTAGGCTTTGTAGGCCATGCGAAGTTTTCGTGAAGACAAATGATGGCCAATACCAGAGCCTAACATGAGACAAGAAGACAGATCATCACATCAACACGAGGCAGACTGACACACCCATTGCTACCACCAAACTCTAAAAAAGGGCTTGGCCAATGCATGTTTCTATATATCTCGGCCTTGACCCCAACAGATCGTAAATAAAATCTTCCAACACTGAAGTCCCATTGCTCAATCCTTCCAAGATTGAAATTCCATTCTTCTTGTCTTCTTGCGCCCACACCAGCCGACGATGAAGCTCTCTATGATCTTCGCATTCGCGGCTGGCGCTCTCGCCATGCCTACTGTCAATATTTTGACCAGCCACAGTTCGGAACCTCTGAAGGACAGCGAGACCGCCCTTGTCGACTACTACATCTTCAACCTGACCGTGCCTGAATTCCTCGCCAAACGCGATGCCAAAGACCCTCCCTCTCTGAACTGGACCAGCGATGGCTGCAACGACGGCCTACCCAATCCCTTCAACTTTGACTTCACGGTAAGGACCCCAAGCCGCCTTCCCCTTGACTTACGTTGGAGGGGGGGGGTTCATTACACCCGTAGAGTCTGCGCTAACAGGTATCGAACAACCAGCCCGGCTGCCAGCGTCATGATTTCGGCTACGCAAACTACCGAAAGCAGGGTCGCTTCGATGCCGACGGAAAAAAGAAGATCGACGAGCGTCTCCTGGTTGAGTAAGTTGCAGCATTCTCCTCCTCGATAACGTGCATTTCACATCCCCTCCCCCAACTACACGCATATACGCAATTCGAGAGAGGGAAAAACAAAAAAGGGGGAAACTCTTGCTGACACTGTACAGTCTGAGAAACCAGTGCAACAAGGATAATCTTGGATGGAGCAATGTCGGTTGCAAAGGTCTTGCGGAGGCCTACTTCTTTTTCTACCGTTCGAATGAGTTTGGCGGCGGCGACGATGCTACAGGAAACAGAAATCCGGGACGTGGAGGAAAGTCGCCAAAGGAAGTAAGAGAAGTGAAGCCACAGGAAGAGGAGGTGAAGGAAAAGGAAGCAAAGGAAAAGGAAGTAAAGGAAAAGGATGCAATCGCAACGGGAGTAAAGGAAAAGGAAGTAATCGAAAAGGGTAAAAAGGCAAAAGCAGAAAGGGAAAAGAAAGCACAGGAAGAGGAGGATAAGGAGAAGGAAGAAAAGAAAAAGGAAGCAAAGGAAAAGAAGGAAAAGAAGAAGGAAGCAAAGAAGAAGAAAGCAGAGGAGAAGAAAGCAAAAGAGAAGGAAGCAAAGGCAAAGGAGGAGAAGGAGGTAAAGGAAAAGGAGGCAAAGGAAATTGCAGCAAAGGAAAAGGAGTTTAATAGACAGATAAACAGGGCTGAAGAAAGGGTAAAGGAGGTTAAACAAGAAATAGAGGAGGAAAAGGAGAAGGAAGCAAAGAAAAAGAAAGCAAAGGAGGAGAAGGAGAAGGAGAAGGAAGCAAAGGAGAAGGAAGCAAAGGAGGAGGAAGCGAAAGAGAAGGAGGCAAAGGAAAATAAGGCAAAGGAGGCAAAGGAAATTGCAGCAAAGGAGGCAAAGGAAAAGGAGGCAAAGGAAATTACAGCAAAGGAAAAGGAGGCTAATAGAAAGATAAACAGGGCTGAAGACAGGGTAAAGGAGATTAAACAAGAAATAGAGGAGGAAAAGGAAAATGAGAGAAGGAAAAAGGAGGTTATGAAACAGTTCGTGGAGGCTTGCGAAAACATAAAGGAGGCTAAAAAATTGAGAAAGAAGGCTGAAGCACAACTAGAAAAATGGATGAGTGAATCAGCAAAATGGAGGAAGAAAGCAGAAGAATCGAAGAAGAAAGGGAAAGGATCTTGATTACAGTAAGACCCCATAGTATATTGTCGGGATACCATTCTGTCCACAATGATCTAAGCGGGGCTTAGCAGCCAATATCCCAGCTTAATATATTAAACAAGTGGCCCGCACGGAGAAACTATGTACATCTAGAGTAACAAGTATATCAATATATAGCCAGCAGGTAAATTAGTAGTAATATGTGACAGCAAAAGACATATAGGTCAGGTTCATACCTAGCTGCAGCTCGTTTTGACGAGAGACAGCTAGGTCAGTACTATAGCAATTACTTGTCTTAATAGGAGACAGCTAGGCCAACGTCATAATCATCGCTTGCCTATACTTTAAATTCGGAAGTTGCAACATCAGCTACCAAGCCCCGCTCAGCCACATCTGGGTGGCCAAATAGTGGAGTGTGGTGGTTGGACAAAAAATACAAGAAAAAGATCTCCGATCACTGGTTGCTAGGATACTTTCCGGCTCCGAGATGAATCTTAGATTCTCAAAAGGCGCATTTATGGCGTCAACAGTCACTCGATCTGAGTGGACCGTGAATTGAGCTTCAAAGGGAAGAAATCAAATTGAGTGAAGCTTGAATGAAGGCTTATTTATGTCAGCAGACTTCAAATAACACGACCTTGACGCGTCCCTCCACGACGCGTGTTGTTAGGTGTCATTCCTGGCTCCTTACCCTATAGCATCACAATGCTTGCAGTTTCTAGAATTGATATTTTCATGTTGTTTTAAAATACCGTACTCCTCATAATTATTCTTACGATATTGTATTCTCCTCAAAGTATCAATAGTATATTATTCTTAGTTGTAAAAGAAAGAAGATTCATGTATGGATTACTGGATACTTGCGTAGAACGGTGAATGATGATGCCGAACCCATTTTGGATGAGACCATGCGCAACACCAGCTTTACATCAGGGTGAAATTACGGAATGGCCCAAGGCCCAATGAAATGCCGATCGCTCGCAATCGAAATTAATTACGCATAGCGCGATAGTAGCTTTACTAGGGCTAGGATAAGTCTCCCGTTCATTGATTTATGTCTGATCTACCTGGGTAGCTAAGCACAGATGTAAAAGTAGATTATTAGAGATGTATTCCTAACAAGTTGTTGCTACACTTTGCCTCAAATGGGGAACACGAATAAAAGTCGGGTTCAGACCTGACGGATCCGGCTTGACCTAAAGATTCCAAGCCGCGTACGGCCACACACTCTACGGTACATTGAGTCTGAATATCAATCCAGTCTCATCATTTGGTCGTCTCTATATCTCTGCGCACGCCGCTGCTCCAGCCCGTCAGGTACCAGTGGTTGGACTCAACGGCCTCCAAAATGCGAACGTAGTAGTTGAGCGCCTCCATGGTGGGAACCTCGCGTGTGTAAAGGGAATTGAAGAATTCGTGGCTGAAGTAGATGGCCCACATGTTGACGACTCGCAGCTCTGAATCGTAGCCTTTCAAATTCGCAAACTTGATGCACGTTATCAGGGAATGTGCCCCGAAGTGAGGGCTGTTGGATGCGGCGAATTCTTCAAGCTCACGCAGGATCGCTGAGAGCAGAGGTGATTCGGAGTCGTGGACACCAAGATCCAGTAGCTGTCCCAAGGGTCCTTTGAAAATGACATTTTCCCAGCTGTTGAGGATTCTATGCACCCCACGGACAAGCGAGAAGACTTCAATCAGACTGTCTAGCGTGGGCGGCCCCAGGTCTTGCGCCATGCCCATGGAGTGTGAAGCAAAGGCGCTGATGGTCAGGATCGACGCGGTCGCGAATATGGCGTGGCAGTTGGTTTCGTTGATGTTGGCGATTGCTGTCCTCAGGCCCTGAATCGCGCTGTCTTGATGCTGCGAGGCTCGCACAGCATGGCGCACATGGTCGTCAGGATGCAGGAAGGCCATGTGGTATGCTGCCACGGCAAGGAGCTGGTGAAGGACAAACTCGTTGCCCTGCTCCAGCGCCAGCCGCGGGAGGGCGACCTGCCAGATCTCTTGGCGACCGGGTCCTTTGGGGAACGTGTTCCAGGTGACGGAGGTCAGATGGTGCATCAGCTCCAGATCGATGCGCCATTGCACGTCGGGCTCTTGGCCATGCAGCCTGGCGGCAGAGCTGTCGAAGACGGAGAAGGGATCGCCCTCGAACCGCGACTGAGGGCTTTCCGATGACGACATCAGGCTCGGATCCCCGCGCATCTCGCTCGAGGCCCTGGACGCGACGAGGCTGCACTCGATGCCGTGCCTCACACACGCCGAGCAGGGGAGCTGCTCGTCGCACTGCCGTCGACGAAGAGGAGTATTAATTGGGATTTGTTCATCACTGGTCACGTTCTCGACGGCGCGCTACTCACCTTGACGCGACGTTCTTTGCACTTGAGGCACCCATTGCGGGACTTGCGAAAGCCCAGGCGCGGAGGCATGATAGGTGGATGTTGTGATGGATCGCTAGCCACGGTCTTCTTCCCTCCTCGTAGGGAGCGTGCAGTCCAGTTCCATCGACGTGAGGAGGATCCCGCCTGTCCCGAGAGTCTGCTGGTGTTGAGCCAAGTTTTCGGTAATCTGTCCCGGGAGGCTTAGGAAGATGTCGTACTGCCGCTAACGCGTTTATTTGCCCCGCCCCCAATGGAATGGTCCAGTCACACTCGAGTCCTCAAGCTGAGTGAGTGACTCGTGAGAGGGGAAATGGCCTCAGGGCTCGAGCACCACCTCCTGCATTTGGCCAAGATTTGGCATAGTCGAAATTTGAATCCATGGTTCACAGCGTATCTTCCGAATGAGCATTATCTAACCCCTCCTTGCGCCCATCTGAAATATCATATCCACTACTTTGAGCTGCCAGCCCTCAGCACAGACCCCTCACTTCTCGTGCAGGAACAAGCTTTGATTGCTGTCAGGTCTTGATCTATTCTTAGTCCGGTTAGCACTTTTACCGTCAAGACTCGAAAAGTGTGCCACACCATCAAGTTGAAAGGAGGTATTTCTAGTATTACAAGAAGCAAGGGGCATTAAGATTACAAAGGCTACATACGTGATATTCATCATTCGTTCAGCTTCTACTTCTCAGTGGAAGGTCGTTTGATCTTGTCTTGTGGAATTTTCCGACCCAAGGGCCAATCCTGGAATTCCTTGGAAGGACTGCGTTGCCAGTTCAAAACGGCCTGACCCTTTTCCAACAACTCATTCCTCCTCCACCAGCAGATTTTAATCATCCGCGTGTATTCATGACCCGAGTTCTGGTATTTCATCTCGGTAAGGGGTGGGTCGGGCAGAGGAGGCCACTCCAAGGGATCAGTCGCTTCCGTGTTCTTGGTGATTTGCGTGCCAGCCCGCCGCTTCTCGCTCCATGCCGCGAGCACCGCGCGGAACTCTGACACTGGGTGGTCCAAAAGAACGTCGGGGTGCTTTACCCATTCTTCTGCTTCAATGACGGAGACGTCCTGCTCCTTGTGGTGCACACGACGATGACGATCATTGCGAGTGATGATCTCGTACATGGTGAAAATGACTCCCTTGACATCGTTCCGGGCTTCACAATAGCCTGCTCGTCCAATGCGGGCGGAGAAGTTGAAATCGAATATCATCAACGAATCAGAAGCTTCATCGATGACAAGGTTCCGTGGTGCGACATCCTGATGAGCAACGCCATACTTCAAATTCAGCTCGTCCACAACAGCCATGAGTTGGTGAAGCCACTTGAGCTTGAAACAGCGCGTTTTGTTCTCGTCCAAGGTATCGCCAGGGATGAATACCGAGGTGAAACCCACGAGGCGTCCCTCGATCTCGTCCACAACGACACTGCCGAACGGCACAATGTTGGGGTGTTTAGGCAGACGCATCCAGAGGCTCATCTCATGCCAGACCATGTCATACCTCTGCCATATGAATCAGTATTTGAAAACAAGCTGTGACAGCAAGGTTAGTCTGAAGATGCCGAAACTCCAAAGTGTTGGACGCTTACCCGCTTGGTGGGCTCTGCCGAGCGTGGGCGCACAACCATGTCGACGTGGGGGCCTAATCGATCCAGCTCCTCGAGGTCTTGACGAGAGATAATCTCTATGCCGTCTGGAATTTGGAGGCTCTCCACGGGTGGGCGGAACGCGCATTGAGTTTCGTCGTCTTTCGGGTCGGCTGAAGCAGAGATGAGTTCGCCGTCGGAGGTAACATGGATTGAGTAGACGTCTGGCGGAAGATGGTCGATGTATTTGAGAAGATGCTCGAACGCTGGATCTTCTGAATCGAGCTCTTCATCCATAACCACCGAGACCAGGCGGCGTTGATCCCAGTCGATGACGTGCCATGTGCTTGGGCCGCCTGGGTCGATGGCGCCGCTCGGGGCAAAGAACCTGTCGCCGTGATCGAGCATGTTGGCTTTGCGGGTGAAACGCTCTCCTAAGAGAGGAGAAAATGATGAGATGAGAGAAGAGGCATGGAGTTTCTGTGCGCGTGTGAAAATATCAGATAAGCGCGTGAGTGAACGCTGATAAGAGATTGGTGACGCGTCGGTGCAAATTTGTTGCTGCCTCTAGGTACGAGTAACATGACGCGGGTTGAGCCTGGCCATGGTCAGTTTCTGAACTGCACGACTGAGCTGTCTGAGGATGCTGAACTCAAGTTGAGCAAGAGCGTACTGATGGTAATATGATCAAACAAACTAGACTGACCCGATAAATATAGAAGATAGAGACGCTTTTTTCCAGTAATGACTACAAACTTCAACAGAGCTCCAGGGAGAGTTTCACAAAGGGATCTGAAGCTCCAGAAACCAGCCAAGTGGGTGACATAGGAAATGGCACCCTTGCACACACATGATCTATCATCTTTCATAGCTTTGTAGCTATAGAATTACTAGAATAAGATGAAAGAAGAACAATATTCAGGTCTAAATATCGGTATTCTCTATTCTCTGTTTAGAATTAACTACCTACTCACATATATTTAGGTGGTTACTTAGCTCTTCATTTGGGTGTGCCATTTCGTGCATGTTCCTGTGTCACGCACTTGGCTGGACTCACGGGCAGAATGCCAGAACGTCGTTGAACAGATGCCCCCTAACTTTTAGTGGTTGAAGGCGCTATCGGGTGCACATAATAGTAGGCATATGCTGCACTGCGATTCATCTCCAAGGCCACACAGGATGCACATTCCAAGACAGAAAAAATGACTACAAAGACAATTCAATGTCCAAGGTCAGCGAGGTACATTTCCACCACATTTCCCGCAACCACCGGAAGAGGGATCTGTCGGGGTATTTACCGACCCCGCACCAAGTCCGGAGTGCGGCCTCGGTGTTTTGCCCGATTAGCTGGAACGAGCCCGTTCCCAAGCCCATTGCCGCTTGACGAGTGAATATTTGACGGGAGGAGAGTATCCCATGTTGCTCATTTAGTTAAATGGCCCGACCCCTGAGATAATCCATCATCCTACTGTCATCAATAAATCGACCCCGGCATATTCACAATGGCGGACGCAGTTCGTGACCTCAAGTCAACCCTCGCCTCCCTTCCACCGGTAGGGGCCAAAGATCTCCGAGCCAAAACCCAAACCGCCATCCGCTCCGGATCCCTTAAAGTGCCCCTCCTCGTCGTTCTTGACGACGACCCTACCGGTGAGTACGAAAGGATGTTGGGAGATCAAGCAATGAGCACGGGTTGTTGACATTGATACGCTTCTAGGTACACAGACTTGCCACGATATCATCATCCTCACTGCCTGGGACACACAGCGCCTCATTGAGGAATTCCAGGCTACACCAGCGGGCTCAGGCTTCTTCATCCTCACCAACTCCCGCGCCTTGCACCCGCCCCAGGCGAGGGCGCTCATCACTGAAATATGCCAGAACCTCCAAGCCGCCAGTAAGGAGACCGGGATCGACTTTGAAGTCGTTCTGCGGAGCGACTCTACCCTGCGAGGCCATTTCCCACTGGAGGCTGAGGCTGCAGAGGCGGTGCTCGGCAAGGCAGATGCCATAATTCTCTGTCCATTCTTCCTCCAGGGCGGTAGATACACGATTGACGATGTGCATTACGTCCAAGAGGGGCCCAGGCTCCTGCCCGCGGCGCAAACGCCTTTCGCTAAAGATGCGACTTTTGGGTATCAGAGCTCCAACCTGAGAGACTACGTGGTGGAAAAGGGCAAGGGATCTATCAAAAGGGAGGATGTGACGTCCATAAGCCTGGAGACGATCCGTGTCGGCGGTACGGACGCAGTTCTGAAACAGCTGCTCGAGGCGACCAGCGACCCCTCCAGGAAACCAGTGATTGTTTTGAATGCCGCTGCCGAGGAAGACATGGATGTCGCTATAGAGGCGCTGCTCCGAGCCTCGAGCTCGGGAAAGAGGTTCCTTTTCAGGACGGGCGCTGCCTTCGTCTCTGCGAGATTGGCCATTGAGGGCATCCCGCCCATTTCTGCCGCCACTCTGGGACTCTCAGGCAAGGTGGGAGGATTGATCATTGCTGGGTCGTATGTGCCCAAGACCACAGCCCAGCTCGAGTCACTCCGAAGCCGCAGCGGTGACAAGCTCACATCAGTCGTCCTCGAGGTTCGCAATCTGCTCGAGTCACCGGAGAATGCCACCAAGGCTGTGTCAGACGCCCTGAAGATTGCAGAGGCGGAGATTGCAATGGGCCAAGATGTGCTGGTCATGACGAGCCGAGAGCTCATTGTGGGCACCGACGAGGCAAAGAGTCTTGACATCGGCTCCGTCGTTGCCAAAACACTGGTGTCTTTCCTGGAAAGACTGGAGCAGAAGCCGAGATATGTCATTGCCAAGGGAGGAATTACCTCGTCAGATATGGCTACCAAGGGCTTGAGGTTCAAGCGCGCGGCCATCGTAGGACAGGCCGCGCCAGGCGTTCCGTTATGGCGATGCGACGAGCCGTCTGCTAAGTGGCCCGGTTTGCCGTACGTTGTGTTCCCGGGCAATGTTGGAACGAATGATACTCTCTTCGAAGTGGTAAATGGCTGGCGGGTTTAGTTTATACATATATAGTTGAATAACAGAAAAACTTTTGATTATTATGCATGCTGCCCTTCACTCTAAGTGAAATGGCTTGTGAGAAGATTATATACATCGTTGGAAGTGTCCGTCCCAAACGCCTCATAAAGCAAGCTATCATTCATGAAGCTCGACCCGTTACCAAAGAAGTTTTCACCAGACGCTGATTGTACCTCCCATCCCGGCGTCACTAACTGCGCGCCTTGCACTGCCGCGCCAAAGCCAGAGCTGATCAAGGGGGTGCTGTAGCCCGGCGCGCTCATATCTGGCATGCCAGCCTCGGCGTCAGCGCTGTGTTCTGGTACCTGTCGATATTCCTCCACACTGGTAGCTTCCGCCGTCATCTTGCCCAGCATCTTCTCCAGCCCGGCGGCTATATGGTGCAGGACATGCCGGTCTGATGTCACGGACCTCTTCAGTAGGTCGATCATCTTCTCCATTAACCTCGACACATTCGTGTAGCTGTGCTCAATGTTGAAGCCCATGATCCTGTTCCATTTTGTGGCCACCTTCATCAAGAAAACGCACGCAAAGGCAATCATCATGTGGACATATAGCGGCGTTCCCACAAGCGCCCGTCTCAAGTCATCTTCCTCGAGCACGAACGTCAGAATGCTTGCAGCAGCAGAGATGGCCATATTGGTGAGTTCCTTCCTCTCAGTCGACAGGCGACCGCTATTCAGGCTTACACCGCGGACGGCGAGTATGTTGAGCTGCAGTTTGGCAAAGTAGCTGTACAGAATGATCCCCTTTGGCGGAAATGTGCCGATGAAGTTGTTTGCCCGCTGGCGCGAATACCATAACATCCGCCACTGCTCAATCTCCACGTTGAAGTTTCGCACGTCGACAAAATCGTCCTCGGTGAGCATGGTCGAGGATGATTCGTTTGATGGGTTCGCGTCGTTGGATGCACCGCCGCGTCCCATGCGGATCGTATTTCGATCTGGGAGACGCCGTTCGCCAAATCGGTCGAAAACCCGCGTGAGAATCTGCATGAGAGCAACTTGGGACAGTATTCTAGCGTCAATGGCATCGGCCAAGGGCGAGGTGAGAAATAATTCATGTTCTCGGATCTGGATGGACTCTGCGATCATCGGGGGCCGGCCGTAGGCTATGGAGAAATGATGATCACACACGTAAAGCATGTACCATAGCCGAGCTCTCTGGAAGTGTTCGGGGTCTCCCTCGAGGGCCTTGGCAAAGCTTTGGTGCACATTCAGTTCAGTTGCGATACGGATGGCGTGGCCCGATAATTTCCAAGACACGTCCGACAGCCAGAATGCCGCGATGCACAAGCCCCTGACATCGTCGATCGAATGGTATCGAGAGAACATGGAAGATGCGATAAGAGCCAGAAATTCTCTGTAGCATTTATCAAATGTTTCGGCACTGGTTGGAAGGTGCAGGGCTGTAACGGCGAGTATCGTGGCGGTCAGGAGTTCCGATGACTTGCGGACGGAATAGAAGGAAGGATGTGTCTGTTCAAGACCGACCCATAGATAATGATTCAGAGACATATGGAAGCTGCGACATCAAAGTTGGTCAGTGAAGGAGCAGAGTCTGAACATGGAACCAGCCACTCACGAGTTGTACAATTCCTCGGCCTCGTGCTCAGAGATGACTCCCCGAGAGATGAAATCGTTGAGTTCTCCCTGTCCCCCAGACAGTGGCCTCGCAGTGTTGGCCTTGTTGCTTCGGATATTTCTCAATCGAGTGACTTCGTAAAGACTTCCCATGGGCTCTTCCACAGTCACAGCTGCATTCATGGGGTCCGGTTCGAGTGAATTTTCTCGAGTCATGGCCATTTGAGTATTGTCTTCTCTGGTGCTGGATAATCCCGCAGGGCTTGTTGTTGTACTACATGGTGTTCCGGTCGGTACGTTGTGTGCCGCGAGACTGGCTTCGAAACTGACGTTTGGCGCTCTCTTTTCTGCCAATATCGAGTTTATGCTCTGTCTCATCAGTCTCATCTCTTCCCTCATGAGGTCGAATTTTTTCCTGGCAATCAGTTAGTGAGCGCTCTCTCCATCATGAATGCAATTGATCGTACTCATAAGGGTCTTCCAGTGCCGAAGGATCCTCCTCAAGATCAACTTCGATGAATCTGGTTGTCTTGAAAATACAATCCACTTTACGCCTCAGACAATGTTTGCAATTCCGGTCCCCTGGAAACACCTCGCACTTCATCTTGAGTTTCTTGCACGCCAGACCTTGATTATACTGTCAGCAAAGCATTTTCAAACCTCAGCGTTTCTCCAGAACCCACTCACAGGCTTTTGATTTGCGGCCCGGTCCACCACTGCCAACACCCGGATGGCGACGTGCCTTTGTTGTCTTTGCGGGAGTCACATCCTCGCTGTCTGGCTGTGCCTTGGTCTCTGACACTTCCTTCTGCACCGCGTCGTCTTCCAGGTTCGATCTCATTGTAAAATTCCTATACGTAAGGTTGTGCAGAGCTGTAGGGAGGAAATGTTTTCTGGACTGGCACCGGGAAATCGGGAAATACCAGGCTTTTAATTCCCTGTCTGCTCCTATTTCTGCAAGGGCTGGTGGGTCATCAGACCGGTCATGCGGGGGAACGGGGCTTTTGTCAATACGTAATGCTACTCAATGATGGTGGAGAAAATGGGGTGTGGGGTTTCAGCTGGTTTGTTGCTTGGGAACTGTGTTCACTAGGCTGAGTGATAGCAGGTTACTAGTTACTCTTATGGGAAAGCACTTCGAAACGAGGTGGAGGTCTACACAAGTAATCTTGTCATTGGAGCTATACTACTATTATCTATGGTATGGTGGTTTGCTTATGCCTCTCCTTGGGGAACGGCCGGCATTACAAACTAATCTAAATATCGTACTTGGCTCCAGCGTTGGCCCGCCTTGTAACCGTGGCATTGGCTTCGTTCTGCTCAATGTGGTGGCTCGAATCCTTGTCTCCCAAGCCAGCCTCAATGGTGATAGTGTCGTGAAGCTCCTCGATCTTCTTGTTATCCCTGCGCAGGCAGTAGCTTAGGGCAGCGGAGCTCAAGACGGTGACGACAGTCAGAGCAAGATTTACAGACCAGGCAGTCATGTATCGCGGGCCAGCAGATGCAGGGTAGAGATAAGGTGTCCAGACCAGAGCCACATTGCCAAAGGAGTTGTTCATGGCGAGACTGATGGCTCGTTTCTTCTGAGGACGAGCTCCGATATTAGCCATCCAAGCGTTGGAAATCTGAAAACAGCCATAAGTTCCGGGAAGCATCAGAAACAGAGCAAAGTATCGGGCTCCATTGTTTGTTGTAGCCATGGTAATGACAATGCCCGCAATGGCGACGAGGCTAGGGTAAATCATATGGGGGCTTCGCTTAGAGGTGCCTAGGCCAAAGTTAGTCTTAACTATTCCACACGCGTGAGATGTGTAGGATGCCATCTTGACTTACGATCAGAGTACCAGGTGTTGAACAGACAGAAGATAGCAGTGAAAAGATATGGAGGGGCTGTAAGAAGCAGGGTGTTGATCTTGGAATAGCCAAAGCTGTTGACCAATGTCGGCAGAAAGTTGGTCAGAGAAGCAACGGCCTGGACGCAAAGCTGTCCAACGATGCAAAGCCAGACTCTGTAGTCCTTGGCAGCAAGCTTAAAGGCGGTCCAGTTGTTGATGTCCTCCTCTTCCTCTCCAGCATCCTCAATGAGTCGCACGACTCCCAGCGCCTTTTCTTCCTCGCTCAGCCACTTGGTGGTAGCTGGCCAGTCTGGGATAACAAAGCCAGTGACGACAGCAAACACAACAGTCGCGGCTCCTTCAATTATAAACAGCCATCGCCAGCTGGGCAGCGGGTTGTTTTCGAAGGCTGCGGCTATGCCTGCAGCAAAGAGACCTCCAAAGGCACCAGAGAGCATCGCCGCACAGAAGAAAATTCCGAGACGCAGTCCGAGTTCCTTTCTGGTGTACCAGCCAGAAAAGAGGAAGGCTACACCGGGGAAAAAGGGAGCCTGAACGAGTAGAGGTTAGTGACCGCTAAGTTAAGACATAGCTGTATATGGAGTAGAGTATTCCAACCTCTGTAATGCCGAGGAAGAATCGTGTCGCCGCAAGACCGCCAAAGTTATGAGCTGCCGCCGTGGCACCGCTGACGACTCCCCAGGCAACCATGCAAGCCGAAAGATACAGACTAGGTCGAAGTTTCCCGAGAATCATGTTTGACGGAACTGTAGGCTCAGTTAGCCGGGTGTTGATTGTCGTGGACGGGTTTCCAATTCTACCTGCCTTGCATTGAGATATAGCCGATGAACGTCAGACTAAGGACAATGTTGTACTCGACCCCTTTAAGTCCCAGATCCTGTTCGATGCCTTGGATTCGTGCTTGCGGAAGGGCGTTTCGGTCGATGTAATTCATGATGTACATCACGATCTAGTATTCTCGTCAGCATCATTCTTGAGTCCAAATTTCGAGGGAAGAGTGTTCATACGAGAATTGGAAGAAGTCTAGTATCGATCTTCCGGAGGAACTTCTTCTCTTTCTCGACTCGCTCTTCTGGAGTCCACGCAGCCACTATGGCCCTGTAGTCAGGAGTGGCATTGCTGCCTGCATGGAAGTCGGTCTTGGCCATTCTGAAGGATCAGGACCTGTCTGTACGCGTGGGTGCAATTCTTGTCGGGTAAGCTTGATGGATTGGAGGGTGTGGAGTGAAAACAGAAGGGCTTCAAAAGGTTAGCTTTCGGGAGACAAGGGACGAAAGACAGCTTCCTTTATAGTGCTCAATCCTTTAGCGAACCAGCGCTTCAGTATGAAGGCAGGCACAGGGACGGACAACCGGTTGGCTTTGACCGCTTCTAGATTCAGAGGAATTGGCAAGATGAATAGTTTGGGAGGTAAGGGAGGCGTCAGGTCCGGGAATGATGTGGATTCTCCGTCAAATTCCCGGGGTAAGGTTTGAGAGACATCCATGACCGAAGCACAGGATTGAACTGACTCGTGGTTCTCCTCGTAACTTGCTGGCCAACGGTCACCCCACAGGACAGTGTGGAGAATTGTCAGCCCCAGACTTACGAACCCTGTTGAGGACTTAGTTGCGAGTCATGGTCTGGGGTCCGGGAAATCGGGATATGCAAAAGTGGCCTGCCTGAGCCAAGACAATATTAGGTTTGATAATTGCAACGTACCTCGATTACCGGTGAATGCAGAATTCCAATGAAACTAGACAGTTCGATACCTTGATACATATCTATGGTTGATATGAAGCATGAACGCGTATGCCATCAACCAGATGATGACTGGAGATGAAGTAGATCAGAAATATTTGATTTTGTCAGGCGATGCTCTCCTACTCCATGTATGTCTCAAACGGAAAATAGAGCTTATGCTCCGAGCATAGTCTGTGAAGCAATAAGAAGTTATCCATCTTTGCATTAGAGTACGCCACATGAAGGCACTTAGCCAGCATCTAGACCTCCGTGCTCGCTTGCGAAACACAATCCATCGAGAAAATGATCTCCGACTTAGGAATAGACCCCTTTTCCATTGTGGCTAGAGTCGTACGTCAAAGATCTATTGGGAAATGCGGAGGCGAGGCTGGAACTCCGCCATCGGTAAATCGGGGCATTTCCCGGATTTTGGTGGGAATGACCTGCAGTGAATGCCTCGTGATGAGACAATGCTTGGGAGAGGGGAAGACCTTAAAAACCTATAGATATCATCCTTCATGCTCTAATTCAGAGACTCAGATATTAAGCAACCTTCCGGTATATGATCAAGCCATTCACCTTCGCTCACTTTTTTCGATAAGCTAGATCACCTCAGCACGAAGGACTGAGACCCTAATATTCTTTCCCCTGAACTTCACAACCTAAATTTCCACAATGACTAGTCTTTCGACCAAGCTCGCCGAGCTGGACAAGGCTGGAAAGCCCGTCCAAGTGGGCATCATTGGAGCGGGCAAGTTCGGTTCCATGTACATTTCCCAGAGCTTCCGTACCGCCGGTATTCGTTTGGCAGGTATCGCAGATCTTTCAGCAGACCGCGCCTTGGCCTCACTGAAACGCACTGGATATCCTGAAGACAAGTACGACGCTACTGCCAAGCTCTCCATCTCAGAAGGCATTAAGGCTGGCAAGACCGCTATCACCACGGACTCTGCTGCCCTGATCGCCACCCCCGAGATTGACGTCATCCTCGAAGTTACCGGCAACCCTTCAGCTGGTATCCGACATGCTCTACTTTGCTGCGAACACAAGAAGCACATTGTCATGATCAATGTGGAGGCAGATGTGCTCGCTGGCCCCCTTCTGGCCCGCAAGGCGAAAGAAGCCGGCATCATCTACTCCATGGCTTACGGAGACCAGCCTGCCCTGATCGCCGAGCTGGTAGATTGGGCCAGAACAGCCGGCTTTGAAGTCGTATGCGCCGGAAAAGGTACCAAGCACCTCCCCGAGTACCACTACTCGACCCCAGACACAGTTTGGAACTACTACGGCTTCACAAAGGAGCAGCTTGACTCAGGGGACTTCAACCCTCAGATGTTCAACTCCTTCCTTGATGGAACCAAGTCCGCGCTTGAGATGGCCGCTGTTTCCAACGGTTGCGACCTCAGCCCTCCTACAAATGGATTGAACTTCCCTCCTGTGGGGATTTGGGATTTGCCCCAGCGACTGAAGCCTATCAGTGAAGGAGGTCAGAACGAGAAGAACGGCACAGTTGAGGTAGTTTCTTGCATGGAGACAGACGGACGTTGGGTTTTCAACCATCTTCGTTGGGGTGTCTACGTTGTTATCAAGGGTATGTTTCCTCCCCTGATATGTTTCCAATTATAGAGAAGGCAAAACTAACCTTCATGTTCAGCACCTGGAGAGTATCAAAAGGAGTGTTTCAAGCAATACGGTCTGCAGACCGACCCTAGCGGCTGGTATGCCGCCCAATACAAGCCTTATCACCTTATCGGTCTGGAATTGGGTGTCTCGGTCGCCTCCATCATGGTCCGTGGGGAGCCTACAGGTCAGACCAAGACCTGGTCAGGCGATGTTGTTGCTACTGCCAAGCGCGATCTTGCAATTGGCGAGAAGCTTGATGGTGAGGGTGGCTTTACTGTGTACGGGCGTCTGATGCCTGCAGAGGATTCAATGGCCATCTCAGGCCTACCAATCGGCCTTGCCCATGGTTGGGTACTGAAGCGAGCTGTCAAGAAGGACCAGCGACTAAGCTGGGATGACATTGAATACACAGAATCGGCACAGGCTGTGGCGGTGCGAAAGGAGATGGAGACTATTTTCAAGGCCGAGTTCAAGGCTCAGAAAATCAACGGAGTCAACGGGCACGCGTAATGAAATATAGATAAAAAACTAGACTACTGGACGAGTCAGAGAATAGAAATTTTTACTATTGTACAGCACCATTGAATTACTTGACAAGTTCCAAAGTATGTTATATAGGCTCAAGCCTTTGTGCAATTCTTCCAGCTTGGACTGATACTACACATTATTCTGATTGAGCGTCCTCGAAAATATACGCATACCCATTCGCTACTGCCCATAACAGTGGTGTCCATCCGTCGTCGTCCGTCGATTCCGGATTGGCACCGGCTTCAAGAAGCTGGTTCACACAGGCCAACTCCTCGATTGCCACTGCCCATGCCAGAGGCGTCCACCCGGAGTTGTCCTTCAAGTCAGGGCTCGCCCCAGCTATCAATAGTCGCCGCGTGCACTTCACTTGACCGTTTGCCACGGACCAAGATAGGGGTGTCCGCCCGTTATTGTCCTGTGAATCAGGGTCAACCCCTTTTGCAGCTAGTAAAAGCATGACGCATTCTTCGTGGCCGTTTCGAGCAGCCCACGAAAGTGGTGTTTGGCCAAGGTTGTCCTTCGAGTCAGGCCCGATGCCGTTCATTCCTAGCAGAAGTCTCAAGCATCCCTTATGGCCCAGTTCGGCAGCACATAGTAGGGGTGTCTTTCCATGTTTATCCTTTATGTCCGTCGCTACCCCAGATGCCCCCAGCAGAGCTTTTGTCATCAGCACCTGCCCCGTCTTGGCTGCTACGGCCAATGCGGTCGACCCCTCTTGATCTTGATGATTCAAACCATCGAGGCTGGCTGCTAGTAGAGTTTTCATGATTTCCAGGTTGCCCGACGCTGAGGAGGCAATCAAAGATGTAGAGTATCGCCCTCCTGAAGCAAGTCTACGGAAGTCTGGGCGAAATATCGTACGAAAAAGCTCTGTGTGGCCTCGTTCGCAGAGAACGTACTCCAAATCCGCGTAGGACGAATAGGGAAAAGTTTCATACATGTCAAACACATTATGAAGGTTGATCCATAGAGGCCACTTCTCACTACTTGAGAAGTCTGCTAGAAACGCGCCTTGAGGAATAGACCGGCTGGCTGATTCTGCATGCTCAAGAATGAATGAAGTCGAGTATTCAAGCATCGGGAAGGAAAAGGCTAGTTCCATAGTGGAGAGGCCGTCTGTGAAGGGGAGAAAGTCCGAAATATCAACCTTTAGGTATGCCTCGCAGTATTCTTTCAACTGATCATGACTTTTACTTTCAAAGTCCTCTCTAAGATCTGGCCAAATTTCTCCGATCCCGTTCTCCTTGATCAGGAAGTCACGGACCGACTCATGGATGAATTGGACTGTTGGGCTCTGAGATTTCGTGATTTCGGCCAGACCTTTGGATGAGCTGGACACCAGTCGAGCCATGACATCTCCAGTTATCTGCCCAGGGTCCCATGGCACAACAGTCTCTGGTTTTGGGTTCAGCCCAAACGACACAGCAGTGTAAAACTCCTTGGTCGTGAGTGGCCGACGCGAGAACAATATCCACTGGATGCAGAGCAGCATGTCATTTATATTCCTTTCGTCTTGCGTGAGAATTTGGCGAAAGACATGGCTTAGATCGCTTGGCAACTCATGTAAACGCCGTTTCAAGGCAAATATGCGGCCATCTCGAATTTCTTGGTTGAGAATCTCCACGGTAAGAACAACCCACATGAAAACCCCAGAAGCTCTGGAAAGAACATCCTGAATAATCTCCTCGGCCATCTTTCCCCGGCCTGCGCGTAGCTTGCTGCGCACATAACTCTCTAGGTCTGAGGCATGGCCATCCTGGGCATCCAGCTGGAGTCGGAGCCCTCTCTCTACTTCAATATATGGGTAAGGCCGGCTCGAGAAACAGACGTAGAGTTTGGTCTTGTTCCGAGAGGCAAGATCACCTAGCGCCTCAAACGATTCGATCATCTTCAGGACTTGTTCCTGATCGCACTCATCCAGAGCATCAATGAAGCAGAACAGGGTTTTGTCTCCGAGCGCTTGGGCCAGGCTTCTGAAGAGCGTTTCCAGTATCTCAATATCTAGAAGACTGCTATTTTGTGTATGAGGAAAGGCTGTGAAGCGTTTGAGAATATGTTGTAAGCTCGGAAGGCTTTCTAATGCTTGTAGGAGCAGAGATCGATACATCCCAGTTGTTGACTTCTCTAGTTCCTCCCCTGTCGCGTTGAAAAAGAACGATGTCACTGCCGCATCAGCAGATTCTCTCCACTTGTCTTTCGTGTGTAAATGCAGAAATTTCAGTAATGTCGATTTACCAGCTCCAGGCTTACCAATGATCCATAGGAACCCATGGTGATCATCAAAGCTGGCGGGATCTTGCCAGGCTAGGTACCTGGGGTCATTTAGAAACCATTCGCAAGTTTCGGCGTATGCGGGTTTGACAGCTCTTCGGCGGTTATCAATATATCCAAATGATAAAGCCTCTAGGCATCTGTTTTGATGGTCCGCTAAGACACGTGTAAGCTTGCATCCTAGATAGACTCGTGCTTCGATTCTCAAGGATATTAACTCACTCGATATGGAGGAATCCTCTACTAGGAGGATGTTTTTGGGATCAGTGTCTTGTGTCATCAATAAAAGCTCTTTAGAATATGCTGCCGCTACCGCAGCCGAGTAGTGCTGCCATTGTTTGTTCTTATGAGAGTCCGAGTAATCACATATGCCACGCACCACAAGGCAAGGGATGATATCCATCACACCAGCTGCCTCAGTTTCAAAGCACAAAACATCGAGCTCCTTTGACCGCTGCGATCGTGTGAGTCCATCTCTGACTATTTGGTTTCCTGATCCGATCCGGCCATAGTGAATCTCAGGGAGTTCTGTTTCTCGCGGTCTTCGCGGCAGGATCTGCGACGAGTCGCAGTTCTCACACCCGTGTAAGGGTTGTACATGGTTGTATAAAGTGGCAAATAGCTTATCCTCCAAGTTGGGGCGCCTATATCTGGTCATGTGCGGGTGGCGATGGTGCATCTCGGCCATGATGTCGGGAAGTCTGCTCGGCGCCCGATCGTGACTTGCCCTGAGCTTTGCAATAGCTGTCAAAAGAGACTGTGCCGGCCGTCTAGGGATGCTTGTCCGAAAGAAGCGGCCGTCGGGCATGGCCTTGCCCAAGTCGTACGGCACGACTTCAAAACTGACCACGACATCACCGAGCCTCATATCCGTTGAATCCGGAACACCACCACCCACGCCAACCAACAGACCTTTGTTAATATGGCGAAAACTTCTCTGCATATTCGTTGCCACGTTGGCTGCATTGTTGGTGCCATAGTATCCTGCCGGCAAGCAAGCGACGACGACGTTGTGGCTGCCAATGCTGCCGAAGGTGTAGGCATTGGTATCATCTTGCTTGTTTGGAAGCGGGTAGTGGACGTGATCTAACATGGCCTCTGCGGCTGCCAACTCGACCGAAAGAGCACATATCCAGCCAACAGTATAGTCATCATATGACAGGGACTTTTGACGCGAGCTGGTGTTTGTTCTCTGCCGCTTGGACGGGTTGGAGGATGGTGTCTCAAAAGCAGACATGGCCCTCCCCAGAGGCGCTCCGACGGGATTCTTGGGGGTCGTCATAAACCCCCGGCCTACAAGTCCCTGACTAGGAGAACTAAAGCATCCCAAGGCAGTTGTTTTCACGCTCGTCGAAGCGAGAGCGGGCAAGGGCCCAAGTTGACCAACCAGGCTATCGCGGGGTTAAATGGAGCGAATTCCAGGATTCCCCGCAAGATGCGTGAGCATGGATGTTCAGTCAGCAACCAAATTAGTGTCTATCAAGGTAGCCAGAAATACCCACAACTACCACTATGGATGACGCCCATGCAATCAGTCTACCTAGGCGATGTGGGCGTAGCTTACCATAGAAGAGCTGTCAAGAGAAAAGGCTAACGGAGAACTATGTATGCTAGAGAGTTACCTAGGAACATTATTATATGAAAGAGAATGATATAGCTAATGGAACTAGAGATAACAGAAGAAGGAGGTTTTGTCAGAAGATGGAGGAATTCTGATTAGTTAATTAGAAAGTATAGGTTAGAAACCTAGTATATATCCTTATCTTTATAGATCCTAATAATAACTAGAAAAGTAACTTCCTATTATTTATATATCTTAGAGATCTAGATTAATTAAGAATATAGATATTAGCTATATATAATATACTTAATTTAATTAATTATTTAATAAAAATTAAGAATTTTAATATTAATTTAATTATTAAGAATATATTTAAAAAACTCTATTTTTAATATATTAATAAAAATAATTAAAAATAATATTTAATATAAAAAGCTAGAGAACTAATTAAAGTAGAAACTAGTTTTTAAATATATTATAAAGTTTTTTTATATTTAGTAATTTATTAATTTAGATAGAATAAATAAATTCTTTATAAGAACTTTTAAAAAAATAAAGTTTTTAAATTTCTATAGGGTAATTATACTTAATAATATCTATTAATATTAAATTAGATTATAAATAATAAGCTATAAAAAGTTTAAACTTATAATAAATAGATAGT